AAAAAAAAAAAATTGAAAGCTTTTTGGTCATTATAATCATTAAAGTCATTCTCACTACCTAAATTCTATCATATTTTTTTAAATAATTAGATGCTACTCATGTTTTCATCTTTGAGATTATTTATTATTCTATTTTTTATAATTTAATTTTTAGCATACTATATTATATATACATATTCATCTTCAAATTTAATTCTATTTACTTAAATTCATTATAAAAGCTTAATTTAAAGATTAAATTTTTTCATCATCAATTAAATTCTAAAATATATATATTTCCAATAAACTCTTTTCATTGGATGAAATTCTACCTTTAAATTTTATATTCTTTAAAATTGAGATTAAAATTATATTTTTACAATAATAGTTACTATATAATAGAATATTTTTTGATTCTAAACTGTTTAAAATTTAAATTATATAGCATTAATTAAATTACAATAATGGGAAATAGTGAGACAAAATGCGATTCCTCAGATGAAGAAAGAAGATAAAAAGAAATTTAAGAATATTGGGAAAATAGATAAATTGAAAGTGAAAAGGAAAGATAAAGAGAAATTGAAAAGAAAAGGGAAGAAGAAGAAGAAAGGAAAAACGAATATTGGAGGTATTAAGAAGAAATGAGAAGGCGAGAATAGGATAATTATAATCCAGATAAATATAATTGATTTTATAATTACATCATCTAGATTTTATTTCATTAAATTATTCAAAAAATGTTATTATGAATGCGATTCATTTACTTATTTTGATAAAAATAGTTTTATTGGTTTCAAGTTACTATGATCAGTGGTATCACTACATAAAATACTTAATTTTGTTTATTTTCTTGAAAATTGGTTAGAGTAGCTTGATAATAACAGCAATAAATATGGTCGCTTTAATTTATCTCAGGAAAGAAAGTTATAAATAAATATTGGTTATGATTATGAAAATTTGATGATATTTACTAATCTTACCTTTCATTATGTTAATTAATAAAGTAACTTGTATTTATACCATAGAATACGTTTGGATATTTAATAATAAAAGAAGTATAAAAAAGATAAAATTATTATTAAAACAAATAATTAAAGATGAGAAACATTGAAATATTGGATAATTAAATTATATCATATTAAGTTGATTTTATCGCTCCTTATTCATAGTCAGTAGCTTGGTTGTAAAACTCATTATTTTAAATAACAAGGAATTTTTCTAAATTTATGTAATGGGGGGGGGAGTCTAAACAATGTTAGAACATTCATATCATTGTTATTTATCACTTTCTAAAATTTAGTTATGTATATTTTTTTAATCTATATCAGAAACCATTGACTTCTAGTGTAGAGTAAACTTTGTTGATGATTATTGAAGTTATATAAAACATTAAATTAGAATTTTATGTGTGCAAAGTGCCTAATGAAGTATTTAGAAAATATCTCAATTAAGTATTTTGATGAGTCATTCTTTTTGTAATATGGTAATTTCTTAGCATATTTCTATAAAGACCTGGTATATATTTATAAGTGATTTGAATATGAAATTTATCAATAATATATTTTATTAGAAAATTAATAATGACAATGAGGTCAAGATTGTTGTATAAAGTGTTTTCTTATTAATCATTTGTCAATTATAATAAATAGCCTTGTATTTATATTAATTGAATTAAGTAATTTAATTAT